AACATACCCACTCTGTGCCTCAGCTTCCAAAGGGCGATAATAATACTGATTTCACAGTGTGGTGGGGATTAAATGAGATCTGAGGTCATGGGCAGTAGGTATACTGTAAATGGCCGAGGTGGCTTATTTAAGGCACAGGGCTAGATGGTAGCAGACCCCAGGCCTACCAGTACTGTTCAGACATAGCAGAGAGGACCAGAGACCCCAAAGTAGAAGAGACTTTGATATCTTAAGGTAAAAATCTCTGATCTTGCTTAAGGTAGGGAGCTCCTGGTAAGGAGTTTCTGCACCTTCAAAGAGGTTGAGTCTCAGGGCAGTAGGTGCTGTTTGTGTCCACGACCCAATCCCTTGGCCTGCTTTGGGTGCTAGTGCGGCTATAGTGCACAGTCCTGTACAAGCCCCTCCCCAGGGGTGCCCCTCTGCGTTTGCACCCCAGAACTTTCTCCAAAACCCGGAAGAAGGTCTCTTAGCCCCAGGGCAAGCCCAGCCAGTTGTTCCCGTCAGCTATCATTGCATAACAAACCACCCCAAAACTTAGAGGCTTAGAATAACACCAATCATGTATGTGCTCACGATTCTGAGATTCGGGGGATGGCTGGGCTCTTCACGTGGCCTCAGCTGGTGCTGGAATGTCCCAGGTGGCTCCTCGGCTGGGCAGATCCCCTCCAGGTCATGGGTCTCCAGGTACTTGGATTTCTTACCTTGCAGCTGGCTTCCCCGAGAGCACAGAAGAGGAAGCTGCCAGGCCTCTTAACACAGAAGGTCACTGCCAGGGTATTCTATTGATCAAAACAGGCCCAGGGCCAGCCCATGTGCAAGGGAATGGACTCCACCTCTCGTACGGGGAGTGGCAAGGTCACTTTGCCAAGGAGAGTGTGGGACGGTGGTGTCTTTGGACAGTACAGTCTGCCACATCCAGCCTGTATAGGAGGGAGGTGGGGATTAATGTCCGTGGGGCCATCCTTAACCAACAAGGGTGGGAACTGGTGGATAAACGCAGGCCTGTCCTTCAAAGGGACAATTGTGAGGTGTATTCGACCGGCTCTTCAGAGGGGTCCCAGCAGGATTGAGCCCCAACTGCCCACAGTGGAACCAGCTCAACGATGCCCCCTTAATTGCCTTGTGCTCTTTCCCCATCTTTATCTCCCTCTACCTCTCTGCTACTTCCTCCAGCCATCTCCCAGTTCTGGGCTTAGGCCTTGCTCTCCTGGGCAACCAAACCAAAACACTCAGTTTGCTCATTTGGAAAAAAACCCTTAAATCAGGCTATAAAAGATTGCACCTGGCTCCCGGGCCGATGAGTAATCCCACAGGAATGGAGGTGAAAGGGCTTTGTAAACTGGGCGGCCCCGAAACTGAGGTGAGTGGTCACTGTGAGCAGAGGTATTCCCGAGGGAAGCACGGGGACTTGGGGGCTGCAGGGGTGGGACACCCAGGCCCCTGTCATCAGGTAGTGGTGACCAGAAGGAACACTGCCGCCTTGGAGGCGATGAGAGGTGAGGACAGAGAGGTGGGGGGAAACGGGAAAGGGGGTGCAGACACAGGGGCTTCCTGGAGTGTGCAGAAGTTAGGAGTGCTGTGCCCCTGCCCTGCCTGCCAGATTCAGGTGACTCGGCACAATCAGGTGACTCACCGGGCCAGCGCGGCCTGTGACAAGGTCCCTCAAGATCGTCCACCCCGTTCTGCAGGGACTTGCCCTCCTGGAATAAACTTCACCTCCTGATGCGGCCTCTTCCCGGGAGGAGAGGGACTGAATTACAATGGGAGGGTCCAGGATTCTGGTTCACTTGCCCTCCATTCAGTAAACATTGAAAAGCTGAGCCCTTTTCCACGCTGGCCAGCTTGTGGTCTGGATCCAAGGTGAACAAGCCACTCCCTGGCTCCAGACCCAGAGACAGCTTGAACAGCAGCGAAGCAGCCGGCTTGCTGAGGGACGGGCTCTGGGCCTGGTGAGGGACATCTGACTCAGAATCCGGGAGGGGGGGCCAGGAACTGTGGAACTCTTCCCGGAGAAGCTGATGTCTACCTTTAACCCCAACAGGTCTTAGAACTCAGCTAGGAGAGGGGAAGGGCATCCCAGACGTAGGAAACAGCATGGGCTGCCTGGCTCATTTGGGAAACTTCACTGTGCCTGGAGTCCAGAGAGGTTGGGGAGTAGGGGTAGGGGGCAGATGAGGTTGAAGAGGGAGACAGCGCCAGGAGAGCAGTGGGAGCCCCAGAGGAGTTTAAAGCAGGAGATAAAGGGGGTCAGATTTGAGTATGGGCTCCAGCCTGCTGGTTGCAGTAATGGCCTGGTGGAGACCTGCTCAGGGGCTCATTCATTCATTCAACAAGGGCTCAACCAGGCATCAGGCCCTGTGCTGCTGCGGGTGTCCAGGTGAGGGGCTGTAGTGGCCTGGATGGTGGCCAGGATGGAGAGAAGGGGCAGAGATTCTGGGGAGGCGCTCTCACTGTGTTACACAAACACATCCTGGCAATTCCCAAACTGGCATCTGGTTCCTGGACCAGCTGTGTATGAATTTGGAAACTGGGGACCTGTTATTTCAGGGGTGGACAGCTGATTGGCAGGGCTGAGCCCAAGCCTCAGGGGCCCCCAGAGAGGCAGCCATTCCCGGAGACCCACCCAGAGCAGCACAGCCCACCTGCCTCCTTTCTCCCCCTGCCTTTGCCCCAGGCTCCAGAAAGCTTCCCCGCAATGGTGGCTGAGGATAACCTTTCCAGCAAGGGGGTGAAACACCCCGGTTTCTTTTCCTAAGTGACTCCTGCAGGATCACACAGGAGCCAGAGGCCCAGCTGGGACCCAGAGTTTGTGCTTATTTCCTATTTCTGTGCTCCTCTCCCTCTCAGATTGCAGGCTCTTTGGGTGTAGGAACTGTCTCCTCCATTTGACTGTGGGTTTTCTGAGGGTGTCTCCCCCAACACATCAGGAGCTTTCCGGAGGGTAGAAGGAGGAACGGAAATGCAAGTCAGGGAAGCTGTTCTGCTGCCATTGAATAGTTGTTTGAATTTGTGAAAAATCCTGTATTTGCCTCAGTCTCCTCATTTGTAAAATGGGGTTAATGATAACACTACCTGTTGTGAGGATTAAAAGACATAAGATAGAAGAGACATTAAAAGAGCCTTGGGGGTATGGGCAGGACAGAAATACCAAGCACAGACCATGAAAAACAGCTGGAAATGAGAGCAAAGGGAACCAAACTGTAGGCTCCATGAATAGGATCTCTGTTCATGTTACACGCCGTAGTTTTCCAGGTGGCTGGGACAGAGCCTGGTCCATGGTAGGTGCTGGGTGAACGTTAGTTGAAGGAATGAATGGAGAGTACAGGTGGCAATGGTGGAGAGCAGGGTGCCAACTCACCACCAGGGCGAGAAGGCTTCCAGGAGGGGGCAGGGGAGGGCCCAGGCCTGGAGGGCTGCTGGGAGTAGGCGTGTCTGCCTCAGAACTCATGAAACACTGGGGGTTCAACAATACACCCCCGTAGTTCTGACCAGGTTATGAATCTGGTGTCAACAGTGGGATTTCCCTGCCAGGGTCCTCTCCCTCGACTTCTAAATCACTTCCTCCACCTGCCATCCCCCAACAGCTCATGGGCACAGTGACAGTGACAGGAGGGTTCACGCCCCTCCACATACGGTACCCCTCCTCCTCTGCTCTTGATCCCTCAGGAATCCCTCCTGGGCTCCACCCTCTGCTCCAGCTGCTGTCCCACCTTGTTTCCAGGCCTTTCATTCAGAAAGCTCACCACTTACCTTAGCCGCAGTGGACCAAAACCACACCTTAACCCCAGCCTTCCCTGCTTCTATCATCTATGAGCAGCTCTGCGAAGCTGTGCCTGGTCAAGTTGTACTCTCTGAGCTTTCATCTCCTTCACAGCAAAGGGGGCCAAAAGCCCTGTGCCCCGGGGGGTGCTCCGAGCCCCCTGTCAGAGGGCTTTGTGAGAAGGCCAAGTGCCACGGTAGTAAATAGAATTGTTACCTTGAGGCTGGAAGGGGCTAAAGCAAAACCAGATAAGTTTGAACCTGTGTGTGTGTGTGTGTGAGAGAGAGAGAGAGAGAGAGAGAGAGAGAGAGGAAAGTGGAAAGATGTTTTGGCAAAGGGATGGATGGTATCAAGTCATTACAGAACCCGTTGATATTTTAAACACATATGATCCTTTATAAACGCAGCCACACCCTCATGAAAAATGTGCTTCATTCCTGAAATCACAGAACTGTAAACTTTTCCCAGCAGACTGAAGATTTTAACCAATGTCCTGTGTGGTGTGGGAAGGGGACCCTGACACTGCTGTGGAAGAGGCCAATTTCTAAACCGTTGAGACCACAAAGTCTGACAAATCTTCCTGTTAAATGGATGCATATGGGCCCAGCTGAGCCTGTCCACTCTTCTTTCACGTCCTTTCCAGCCCACAGTGCCCACCCCTTGAGCTCAGAAGGCCTGATCTCCGGGGTCCTTCCCTGGCCCACCTTCCTGAACACAGAGGCCCTTTCAGGGGACGCCAGACGTGCCACAACAGAGCAGGTGATTGTTAGCTGGTCATGGGGGCTGCATGGGTTTGAACCCAGGCTCACCATCTATGGAGATCTTGCCTAAGTCACCTTTCTGTGCCCGTTTCCTCGCCTATAAAATGGGGATGTAATACCCACCTCACAGGGCTATTGCAAGATCAAATGAGTCCCTTCACATACTATTGAGCATAAAGCGTGTAGAACGGGGTCTGGCAGACTGGCGACATGAGCTGCTAGCCACGGTCCCCCCACTTCTCTCCCCTGTCCTCATTCCAACCTGTTAACTGTCACCTCCTCCAGGAAGCCCGCCCTGACCACATCTTACGTAGCCTGCCCCTTCTGCACCTCCCCACCTCTTTCATTTTCTTGTCCCTTCCAGACCACCCCAGTTCTCCCCTTGACTCTCAGGCTGTCCTCAGTCCTCCCAGACTGCCCCCCCCATCTCGCCCCCAGCCCCTCTCCCCCCACCCCGCAATAGCACGCATCAGACTGGCTTGTCCATCTCATGTTTTATTGTAAAAATGTTAAAATAAATTACATTTGACATCATTGCCAGTATGTACATACAGTGTGTGTGATTCCAGGACAGCCAGCAACACCCCAGCCAAGTGGGGTCAGGAAAACTAAGACGAGCTCGTTAAAACATTTCACAGAAAAACAGAAGGCTGCTCCTTCCCACCCTGATGCTGGGCCATCATACCCCTGGGTTACAGGCTAAGTGGGGATGGGTGGGGTTCTGGCCCTCTTTGGTCCTGCAGCATTGGGGAGGGGGTTGAGAGGCAGAGAGGGTGTCTGGATGGCACCTCCTGCCCAGCATCCGGTCGCCTGCGACCAATGCCCCTCCCCAACTCTGACACCATGACCTTAGCTGAGGTCACCGAGAAAGGCCCAACCGGGTTGGGGGATAGGAGGGTGAACATTGGACATCCCGATCCTTGGGACCCCACTCTTGCACCTTTTCTCCCCTCTGGCTCTGAAGCCAACGAGATAAAAAAAAAAAAACAGCAATTCATTTAAAAACTAACAAAACACAACATGCAGGGCAGAGTGGGCTGGCCCGAGGGTGCACCTCACGAAGAACCCAAGAACTCTGCCAGCCCCTCACCAGAAACAGTCCGTCTGCAGTTTCACATTATCTTTTGCTCCTCCCATGGCAAATCCTTTCTTTCTTACACAGACAGACGGACAGAGACACACACACACCAAACAGCAGCTGGAGGGAGGAGGCTGATTCACATATTTGGACATTCCCCACTTGTGAGCCAAGGGTGATCTGGGGAGCGGTGAGGTCACGGGACGGAAGGGTGGAGGCAGGTTCAGCCGGAGCTGAGCCCACTCCTGCAGCTCCCCCGCTGCCAGCTCCAGGAGCCCCAGCCTCTCTTTCTGCCACCACTTCCTGGGAGGCAGAAGCCCACGCCTGCCATTGCTTGGCCAAAGGGTGTCTGGGACGGGGAACCGGACTCTGGGCTGCGCTCCATCCCAGTAAGTCCACACGAGGGCTGAGATGCTGGGCCACACTTGGGACTTACTCTGAGTCCCCCGTAACGGGAGTGTTTCAGCACCTGCCTGTTAGCTCCCCTTCCCCAGATGGCCTCCTCCCTACTGAGGTCTGCAGTATGGGCGACAGCCAGGCGGATGAGGTGGGACTGGGGGACGGTTAAACACGTGCCCCAGGCGGGGCCCCACTACTGCTGAGGTGCTGAAGTGCCCAGCCCCCAACCCCACCAGGGTCTTAACACCACCCTCACCCTCTCTCTGAAATGCCTGGCTCAGTGCTGGGCGCACAGGAACCTGTTAATACTGGTGAACTCAAACGGCCAAGGCCCCCAACCTAAGAGAACCGTGAGACAGTCTTAACCGAATGACTGGGCAACGACCCACGCAGGTGCAGGCCTCCCTGGGATCAGTCCTGCCAGCCCACGTGTCCGTGAACCCCCAGATCCCCCAACTGTGCTCAGGACAGACGCCTCCCGCTGCCAGGGCGCCCGTTCCGCTGAGGAACAGAGGCCCTGTCCTGGGTGCACCGTGTCTGACCGGTAGCATCTAGCTGCAGGGGATGAAGGTGAGGAAGGCCCCTGGCCCCCTACTCCCAGTTCCAGGGCCACACCCCACCAGGGGCCAGGGTCCCAGCCATAGTAGGACACCCCAGGTTGAGGAGAAGAGAAGCCATGGAAGGTGGGGTGGGGAGCCGGCCCCACCTCACGTGCCTTTGGGGCAGTTTGCCTTGTTGTACTCGTTCATAAGCTGTTCGTAAGGCACGGAGAGCTCTGACTCAGTGCTGGTGAAGGTGGACTCATCCGACGAGGGGAACTCGCCCAGGTTCAGGGGCACCTCGGCCGTGGCCCCCTCCTGGGGCCTCTCCTCCCCAACCAGGTTGTCCTCCAGTGAGGACTTGGAGGTGTCCTCGTCCGAGAGGCCGGCCTCCTCGTTCACAAAGGTGATGCTGACGTTCTGGAAGATGAGCGGGTGGTAGTCCTGGGCGTCCCACGGCTCGCCCTCCTCGCTAATGCGGTCCAGCTGGTTAATGAGCACCTCAGAGGTCGGGGAGCCCTCCTCGGGGGGCCCCGCCCCGGCCTCCTCGCCGGGTGGCCGAGACACGTGGCCTTTGCTCCTCAGCGTCTGGGACACCTCTTCCAGGCTGGGCACACGGTTCTTGGAGTAGACCACCAAGGGGGCCAGGGAGGTGGGCAGGGCTGTCAGCCCATCCCCCTGGGGCCCCAGGCCCGGCCCTGGGACCCGCTCCCCACCCCCGCCCGTCTTCATTGCCTTCTTCCCGATCTGCTTGATGAGATCATTGTAAGTCTCCTCCTTTTTCGACAGAAAACTGAAGATGTTGATGTCCTTGGACGCCGCGCCCCCTGCCACCTGCAGGGCCTTCTTGGAGTGTGGGGAGCTCTCGAAGGACTCCTTCCGGCGCCGCCGCCGCTTCTTAATGGCCTTGTGCACCTCCACAAACATGCTCACCTTCCAGTTGACAAAGAGGGAGAGCCAGGCCAGCCCCAGGTAGATCCAGAGCTCCACGAAGTAGCGGTACAGGGCGTGGTAGTTGGCGCTGGGGTTCACACCTGAGGACGGGTCAGGAAGCCCAGAGGGTCAGGAAAGGGCCAGCAGGGACCCGGAAACACACAAAGGCCAAAAGCCGTGTCACCTGAAAGTGGACACCGCAAGAACACAGAACACCGACGTGGATGCACCAGGAAAGAAAGGAGGCCTGTGCTAGAAGCCAGACACCCCATCGTCCTGAGAACCCCGGCTTGGTCACTCGTGTGCCTGTCCCAGACCCCTGCCTGAGCTTCCTCAACTACCGAAGGTCAGGAGAGTGTCTCCCTGGGGTGGGGGAGCTTCAAGGGGGAGGGGCTCTGGGGCAGCTGGGGATGGAGCCAGCACTCGGGTCAGGAGCTAAGCCATGAATGTCGGCCTTTCAATGATTCACCGACACTGACACTTGGCTGCTTTGTGTACTTTTTGGGTGTACGTGTTACAGTTCAGTTAAAACCTGGATAGAAATTAAGTGACAGGGCAGTTGGCATCCTCCTGCTGGGGATGGACTCACTAATTTAATATAAGTGAGGCTGACAGTTGGGCCTGGGATGTCCAAGAGCACGGGTCCTAGCAGGAAATATCCCGGACGGCGTTGATTCTCCTTCTGGTGACGTCTGGCCTGCCTCCTGACTTCCTGTATCTACCCTCGTCCTACTGGTTCCTCCTATGGCCTGGAGGGCTCTGCCCTCTCCACACCCCCACTTCCATGGCCAGGCTCCAGACACCTGCTCCAGGGAGCCCTCCCAGGTCACCCTGCACAGCTCTGGTCACTCCCCTACCCTCCAGGATCACGGAGATTTCACTTTACACCTCCAGGCATGTTGATCCATATTATTACGTATCCTGTGTCCCCCTTCCTGCCCTGAGACTGGGGAGAAACTTGGAAAAGGAACTGGAGGAAGGGGGCCACTTCCGGAGTAGGGCTCCCTTAGAGCAAGGGCGATAACCCCCTCATCAGACTGGAGGGAGTCTGAAGGCAGGGCTGTCTCCCTTGCAGCCAGGAGGTGCTGTCCATCTTGCTCAGGACTCCGGTCATACGCAGGTTATGATGACAACCGGGGCACACTAATATAGCCGGGCCCTACCCACTGCACTCGTGAATAGCAACTCATTTGATTGTCCAGAACCCTGTGAGCTATGCACCGTTACTTTTTTTTTTTAACCAATTTTACAGATGGGGAAACTGAGGCAGTGGTTTGGTGTCTTGCTGGAGCTGAGAAAGTATGATTAAACACCCTTCTGTGCTTCCCTGATACGAAGGGTCCTCCTTAGCCTGCTCTGGGCCCCAACAGCTAGACAATGGCAGGGTCATGCCTCCGTCTAAATTTATCTCTCAAGACAGCAGGCTCAGATCTGCCAGGGTCAGTGGAGTGTTCAGGCCTCTCTTTCCTGCTTCTCCCACCCACTCAGCTGCCCCCTCCCAGCATTCCGAGTCTCCCCTTACAATGGGGCAGGAGGGTAGTGACCTGTCCCTGGCCCTAGGAAGGGGGAGGGGAGAGATCAGAGGTCCTGGGGCAGAGGTGAAGGTCAGCTGGGCAGGGCAGCAGGCACTGAGGGAGCAGCCACTGGGCCAGTGCAGCCAAACGGGGTGTCAGGAAGATTAAGAACCAAGATGCTGTGCAGGCCACAGGCACAAGGACATGAGTGGCTGGAGCCGACAGACAAAGGGGCCAAAGAATCTTATCGCCCGCCCGTGTGGATTAAGTAGGGGAGGAGTGGGAGGGAGGGAGGGTCCGGGCCGAGGGAGCAGGGCAGCTTGGGGGAAGGCCTCTCTGGTCTTTAAGCTGCCAGTGGCAAGAGCAAAGTTTCTGGTCTCTGAGCCAAGCATCCAGCACAGCCCCCTCAGCGCCTGGGAAGGATGGGAGGAGGCAGCTGTGACATGGACCCTGCAGGCAGAAGGCTCTACCTCCAGCCCCCAGTGCACCTAAGCACCTAAGCTCAGGAGACGGGGGAGAAGAGAGGAAGAGACCAGACGCCAAACACGAACAGAGAAGAAGGAGGGAAAAGCCATGTTCCAAGAAAGAGAAATAGAAAACGTCTGCAATTACTCTGTGCCTTGGTTTCCTCTTGCAACTGGCAGGATCCCACTGGGTGGAGGCCCAGGACACTGGACGCCTACCAGGGCCCCCAGTAAAGGTCAACTGAATTGAAATTGGAGGAGAAGCAGAGAAAGACAGGGTGGGGAGGCAGAGGCAAGGGGCAGGACTCACCGGCCACGAAGTCGCCGAAACCGATGGTGGAGATGGTGATGAAGGAGTAGTAGAGGCCCTCGATGTAGTCCCACTCCTCTGTCACCATGAACACGAAGGGTGGGATCACCAGGTGGACCAGCACGCCCCACAGGATGAAGATGGCCGTGCACGTGATCTGCGCCTTGCGCTGAGGGGGACGGGTAGGGAGACCAAGTCAGACGGCGGTGGAGACCGGGGGGAGCCCAGCAGAGCACCCAGAGGGCCGAGGAGGCAGCCAGAGGTGAGGCCAGTTGGGCACCAGGCCTGGGAGGCTCACTGCCCAGGGGCGGGGGCTGGTGCTGATGCTCCCAGCCTCCCCCAGGAGGGCAGCGGGCTCTGAAACTGCTCCCTTGCCACCTGTCCTGACACTTCTGTCCAATTCTTAGATCCTTCCCACCCCCCCCATCACCTGCCAGGGTCCCCCCCATCTCTGCCCAGGACCTAGGGGTGGGGACATACCAGGCTCACGCCTCTCTTGGTGAGGAACTGGCCCAGCCTCTTGGCACGTCCCCCGAAGAACTTGCCCAGGGCACTGATCCATGTCAGACAGAGCGGCACCCCAAAGAGACCATAGAAGACACAGAAGAGGCGCCCGGCGGGGGTCTTGGGGGCCACGTTGCCATAGCCTGAGGAAAAAGAAGAGAGTGAGGCCGACAGAGCCACGGCGGGGGTGATGGACCCAGACTCGGAGTGGCACCTGCCTCCGCTGCCCCCGCCACACAGCCAGCCCGAGGAAAGCCCATCCCCTAAGGTCACTTGACACTGATTAATATCAATGCTTCAGAAATGGAATTTCCCTTGACCATGCTAGGATCAGGATCATTTATAGCAATTATGACGGTATGGGCTATGTCTCCTCCGTCAGACTGGGAGCTCTCTGAAGGCGGACTAAGCCTCCACCATCAGCAAGTCCTCCACGAGTCCGTGTGGCACCCTTGCATGAGCTACAAGGCACAAGTTAGTAGTTTCTCTGCGTAGACACCCCAGAAGCACTGTGGTAGACGGTCTCCAAAGACGGCGATTCTTAATTCCGTCCCTTCTTCTGCTCACATCCAGCTGGCCTCTAATTCCCCTCCCTCTGAATCTGGGCTTTAGTGACCTGTTCGTGGCATGTGGCAGAAGGGACCCTGAGTCAGTTAAGTCCTTATCAGAAGCCTTGTTGCTTCTCCCCTTGATCTCCTGAAATGCTCACTTTGGGGAGTCTCCCTCTTGAAACCCAGCTGCCATACTGTGAGATGCCCAATCATCCCCAGCTAAGCTCCCAGCAACAGCCGGCATCAACTACCAAACATGCGAAGGAAGAAGCCATCTTGGACTTCCAGCCAACTGGGCTTTTGTGGATGACCACGGCCCCAGCCACTCCAACTACCACGGCATCAGAGACCTCAAGCAAGAACCAACCAGCCAAACCCCATCAACTCACAGAATGGCCGACAATAATGATAAATTGTGTTTTAAGCCACTAACTTCTGAGGTGGTTGGTGATGCAGTCATAGATGACCAGAACAGACACCCAGACTGGCGAATAAGCACGGGGTGCATTTGTGCAGTGAGCAACCTGCTCGAACTCTGGCTGTCAAGCTGTGTTGTTTCTACTCCAAAGGCCAGGTCAGGACTTCTAGAAAACAGTCTCCTAAGCATGGCCAGTCACCAAGGACTTACTAAATCTCCAGGGACGTGTCAGAAGGACAAAGTGCAGCTGGCCTGATCTTAACCTTGACAAGGCCATGTGACCAGAGCTGGACTCTTACAAGATCCTGGAGAGCTCGGACGGGGAAGTAGGTATCCTGAAGGTCCCAGAAGACTTACCGATGGTGGTAATGACCGTGGCTGCAAAAATCATTGCGTTGGGCCAGTTCCAGTTGTTGAAGGTCTGGTTCCCTGTGATGGCCACACCCTGTCCTGCAGCATCAGATACTATCTAAAAAGAGAGACACAATGAAGGTCAGAGAAGAGGTCAGCACTTTATAAACTTCCTTATAAGCATTCTTATTTAATCATCACAATAACAAAGTGACAGTTACTGTCTCCAATTTAGGGGTGGTGAAACATTTTATAGAGGATCAGAGAGGTTAAGTGATTTGCCCAAGGTCACACAGCTGGTAAGAATATGAACCCTGGCAATCCGGCTCCAAAGTGCCTTCTCTCACTGAGCCAGTGCTTCTCAAACTTACTAGAATCACCTGGAGGACTTCTTAAGTACAGCCTGCTGGGCCCCACCTCCAGAGGTTGATTCAGTAGGGCTGGGAGGGAGTCAGAGAATGTGCATTTCTAACAAGGTTCCAGGTGATGCTGATGTTGTGGTCCCGGGACCACAGTTTGAGAACTGCAGCAGACTCTTCTGCCTCTGAAAGAAGGCAGATGTGATGCAGACAAACAAGAGGACCTCCGGAAAAGCATTCTACTGCAGGGTTGGCCTGGGAGGGACCGCCCCCCACACCCGACATGCCTTTCACCCCCACTGTCAGGACACCTGCTAAGGTCAGCTCGGTAAGCTCTTGGGTCTGTCCTCCAAGGGCGGACATATCAGCTGGCCTCCTTTCTCCCATGCCTGGGACTCTGTCCTCTCCCCCCTACAAGCTCCCCCTTCCCTCCCTTCTCTGGATCCCTTTCTCTCTGCCCTGAGCAACTTCAAGGTTTGGGCCAGGACACGTCATCAGAAGGTGGTATGTACTTTTCAGGGTGACAAATTCATGCTATGAGTCCCCACGGAGCTCCCGGCAACTATGGGTGGCAGCAGGTGAGAGGTCACCTGGGGAAGTGCACTGGGAGGCCCCCAGAGAGGCCTTCCTTATCTGTTCCAGGAACACAGGCAGCTGCCAAACCTGCTCACCGCCCAGGCCCTGCCTGTACCCCATCCTCCTGTGCTACCTCCCTTCACCCACACCCACCACTGGCAGGACCCGGACCTCAGAAGGCGGCTCCCGAGGAGGGGCCAGGATCCACTCTCAATTTGGGGTCCTGCCCCTGCCCCCTAGGAGAGCCCCAGGATGGACCAGCTAAGAAACCAGAAACTCGCCAAATTGCCTCTAAAAATCAAGCCTAGGACCGAGAAAAGACAGAGGAGTGAAGGATGGAAGCAGGAGGGAGATGGAAAAACCGGAGTTCTCCCTGCAGCACGACTGAAGTTTGGTGAGAAAAGAGGGAAGGGTGGGTTGTCCTGAAGGAATGTGCAGTTTGCAGCAGCAGGCCTGTGTAAACGGATCTGCAGACTTTGTAAGGAATTTTCCATGATGACGTGCTCATCTGACAGGCCGTCAAACCACAGGGCTCACCGCCCTGCCTCCCCCTGCTATTTCCTGAGCATCTCTCTGCAAAGTGGGAAGTGGGGACGGCTGCCTTCACCTGCCCTCAGAGAGCGGCCACCAAGCCGGCCAGGCCACTTCCACGCAAAAGCACCAGGACGTTCAGATACGAAGAGGCCAACAGGTCTATCCTGTTGGAGGTCCACCCAAAAGGTTTTCCAAACCATGAAATCCACGTTCGAAACAGGAGAATGAAAAGTCCCAGGGCCCTGGATGTTAATGTTAAACAGATGGCAGGGAAAGCAGAACTACTCGGCTCCCTTTGGCCGCAGCCTTTGTTATCTCAGATATCCATCTTCGGGGGGGGGGTGCATGGGGGGCGGTGAGTGCAGCATTGTCAGGAAGCACAGCCCAAGACGGATGACAACTGACCAGGAAATCATGGGCCTGGGGCACCACCCCTGGTCATCCCCATGGAATCCCGGAGGAACAGGAAAGATGTCAGAAGGCAAGTTGCCCCCCGCCACCCTACCCCCGCCTTCTCATACGAACGAAAAGGGTGGATTCTAGAAACTCAAACCTGAACTCTTGCTGACTCTTCTTTGGAGACAGCAGAACGTTTGGCATATTCACAGAGGAAGTGGTGGGCACTGGAAGCTACTAGCACAGGTTCACCAGAGCAAGTCATGCTCAGCTAAGTGCATCTCCCACTCCAGAGAGGCTGCAAAGCCTTGAAGTTCAGTGGAATGCAGTCAGTCTGGATAGCAACAAGGCAACTGAACAGATGGGCTTAAAGATATTCACGTGGACAAGACAGAGAAATGTAGGGAGGAACTGGGGTTAATCCGGGTCCACGTAAAGGCAGATAAACAACCCCAAGAAGTACTGATCATTATCTGCCTGGCCTGAGGTCTCCATTAAGCCAAAGGCCAGGCCTCTTCAGTCTTTCAATCTACAACACAGTAAGGACAAAGATGGCTGACCAGCTTAATCTGCAAAGGATGCAACACTGGGACAAGGCTGGCATGGGAAGATAGCACACTGCAATGGCAGTTTGGGACTCAAAATCATCTGGACTGGAAAAATGGGCCCAAAATCATCTGGACTGGAAAAATGGGCCCAAAATCATCTGGACTGGAAAAATGGGCCCAAAATCATCTGGACTGGAAAAATGGGCCCAAACTAACAAGATATGGCTGTCTTTTAAATTTTTCATGTCTTACACTTTGGGTTAGAAGGCACGGACCCATACAGGGTTGAAAGGGAAAGTCCTTGGGTTTCAGCTGACCACAAACCAACAAATACTGGTATGGCTGCCAAAAGAAAAGCAAATACAATCTCAGGCAGTGTCAATACCTTATCTCTTCAGGGCTGGGAGGCAACGAGCCCATTGTCCTCTGCAGGTGAGGCCACATGGGGCGGCACTCTGTTCCATTCTTGGGTGTCGGACTTCATGATATGTTAACCAGTGGGCCAAGGTGCCAGAGGGAACGGGGGTGGCTGTTTTGGATAACGAGCTACCTCAGAACGGATTGCCCTTGGCAGTCATCCATTTCCGATCATGGAAAGTGTTTAGACCCAGGGAGACCAGCACACATCAGCGATGGTGAAGGTGTGACTGGAACAGGGGTTCTCAACTGGGGTGGTAGCACCCTCTGGAAGTATTTGGAAATGCTGCCTGAGTATGTGCCTTGTATGTGCCGGGCACTGGTCCGGGCACCAGGGGGAGAGCAGTGAAGGGACGAAATCCCTGTCCTCCCACACATCTACTCTAGTGGATGCTGGGGGTGCTCCTGACATGAGGCGAGCAGGGACCAGAGAGGTGAGATGCCCTGCCACCCACAGGACAGCCCCACACGCCACGTCCACGCTGCCCCCACTGAGATAACACTGGATGGATTGCCAAAGGTGATCTGCGACTTGGGGGTCGCTTAGTAAGGGCGAAGGAGACAACAAACGTAAGAGCTGGCAAGACAGGGTAACTGAAGAGGGCATTATGGCTGGGAGCTTTGCAGTAGAAAAGCTGGCTTCCTGCTCTTCACCCCACCAGTGGTGTGTCCTTTGGGGCACAGCCCTCAGACCCAGCCTCTGCCCTGGGTTATCAGGGAGCCACAGCCCCATGTGCTGTCCCCTGACCTCCATTATCTCTCCATGGTCACCCGGGGGGGGCAGACAAAGGGGACATTCTGAAGGGCCCTAAGCCCCCCAAGGCCAGAAGCACCACTCACCCTGACAACAGGCCAGTGGCGGAAGTTATGTCCACTGGTCAGGTCAGGCGACTGTGGCTGAGAGGTTAACTGGCAGAACTGGGCCAGGTTCTAGACTGTCTCTTGCAAGTCAGCCCGGCTCCCCACCTCTCTCCCTTCGCTGCTCTCCCTGTCCCTGGACGCCCCCAGCACCCCCGTTGTTGCCTTCTCTCTGCCCACGGGTCCCAAGCAGCTGGCCTGGGAATCAGCCTGGCTCCATCCCAATGCTGGGGAGACAGGCAGGATTTCAGTGCCGCTGTGCGTCAGACGCCTCTTGTTGGGGCTTTTCTATATGTTCCCTGACGGGCTCTTCCTGCGATTCTGCCAGGCATCACTTGACAGAGGAGGAAAGCTAGGCTTGGGGAGCAGAGGTCCGGATGTGAACTTGGGCTGCCTGCTCCCTGCTCCCACCGCGTGTTGCTGTGGCTTCAGTCGGAACAGCTCACTGGTTACGGTCAGGGTCCCACTGGCCGGTGGAGAGGTCCCCCAGAAGAGAGGGGCTCGACCCAGGACTGAGGCCATCCCTGGGTGAGGGGGAGCCACTGGACACAGCATCCCGTCCCCCGGGGTTAGGGAAACAGCTTTCTCAGGAGACGGCCCCTGTTCACTCACAGGATTCTTTAACTTGGCTTCCAAATTCACACAAGACAATATCTTCATTTTCCACATATCCCTAGAGAGTGATGGGAGAGGGGGATGCCGCACACAGCCCAGGCCCGGCTCTGGTTTGAGGATGGAATAGAGCTCTCCTCCCCGCCCGTCACCCTCGTAATAAAGCGGCTGTGATTTACTGAGAGGTGAAGCACTTTAGGTGCCTTCAGCTCATCTTTAAGGAGGAAAGAATCCTGCTGGGAAGACACCATCATCTTCTCCATTTTGCAAACGAGGACTTAAGGCTGAGAAGTTAAGAAAGTAGCCTAAGGTCGGGATGCTAGAAGCAAGGAAGCCAGGAGTAGAGCCTGCCTCATCTGGGCCCTGGCCGCTGGTACCCGACCCTTGTCCCACACAGGCCACAGGAAGGAGGCCAGTGCATACCTCCACCCCTTCGCACCACCTGGAAGAACAGTGCCCTAAAACCAGCCCATCCACTCAGACCTGAGCCCTCCGGGAGGAGACATTCCCGCCCCTGCCTGTGGCTCAGGCAACGTGCTGCCCCAGACGCCACCCTCCCAGAATCTCGCTGTCCATGCAATCTGGGTTCCCCACGGCGCCTCATCCCCCAGGGGTCCGGGGTTTCCTGTGCAGAGGCAGTGCCAGGCCTCCCCATCCTGGAGATTCATTCTGCAGAGTTGCAGGGAGGGCACATCCCGTACCTGGTGCCCACCTGCAGACACGGGCAGCGGGGCTGAGGTCGGGCCTTTGCCTTCATCAGGCCAGTGGGGAAAACAAGTCCAGGTGGTAGCCTGCCTGCGGACAGCAGCTAGGGGCACCCACAGGGCCGCCGCCCTGCCTGCCTCCAGCTCCCGCGGCAGACCTCACGCTCAGGTCGCAGGGGCCCCTTCCTGCCCTGTGGGATCGGCCTCCAGGATGCCCTGGATGCCAGCCTGCACTGGATCTGCGCTGCGTCAAGGTACAAGCGGACGCCCCTCACCATCCTGGGCTGCATCCATCCCTAATCCATTCCGCCTCCGCTCACTTGGTCCCTCCGGCCTGGAAGGGGAATGAGACTAATGTCATGTGTGCACGGTGCCTGGCGGAGTAGGAAGAACCTTTAATGTCCCTCTCACCTGGCCCTCCCAGCCACCTTGGGAGGTGGGCAGGGCATGGTGGATTCCTCCTCCTTTCATAGATGAGAGCTCCTATTTGAATAGCAGCTGATATCTGAGCACTATTTTATGACAGGCACAATCACAGCACTTTAAATCACTCGGCTTGTTGAGTCTTTATAATCTTGTAATGTAGGTACTCTCACCTCCATTTACAGCTGAGGAAAATGAGGCACAGAGGCTAACTAAGTAACTTGCTAGGCAGTGGTGGAGCCGGAGCGTGAACCCAGGCAGTCTGGCTCGTAACCCCTGTGCTGTCCACAGCTGGGGAGAGGGGACAGGGGGTGCAGGGTGGGTTTCTCAGCTACAGAAGTGAAGCCGGGTCTCTAGAACACAACCAGGCAAACGCAAGGGAAACATCCATGGGAATGCAGAGACCACCCCCCAGAAGGTAAGCTCCATGAGGGCAGGACTTTTATCTGCGGTATCCCCAGAGCCGAGGACACTGCCTGGCACATAGTAGGTGCTCAACAAACATTTGTTAAAGGAGTAAACAAACTTGAATGAATGAGGATACCTTCTCTGACCTCGACTGACTCACCCTCTCACGTCCTTCCTTCAACACCTTCCTAGCATTATTCTGCAGGTGGATTTAATAAATTAATCAGCAACAAGGGGCAGGGCTTTATCCAGCAAGAGGGCGGGAAGCACAGTCAGACCCCTGTAAGAGTGTGGCTGGCGGGGTCAGGGGGTGAATGCAGGGCATCCAACGTGTCGGGGGGGGGAGGGAAGGGTGGGGTCAGCAGGCTGCAAGAACAGAGGGCAGGGGGGCTGAAGGTCCTGGGGGTCGGGGGCTGGGAAGGGGTGAGGTGAGGGAGGCAAACAAAAGCCCCCCATCCAAGAGGGCAGAGCGGCTGGCAGTGGGGCTGGGAGAGTCCCTGGGGTGACTGGAGGGACTGTCCTTCCTGCAGGAAGGGGAGGCCTGCCCCCTCCGGAAACTCTCCTAGGGGGCTGTGGACGTGTGGAGAACAGGGAAAGGAACAAAAGGGGGGCGACAGGCCTCTCTCTCGAACCAGACCTGGCCCTGTCCTGGGAGAAGATAATGGAAACGTGGGGCTGCCCTGGGCGTGACCTGGGCGGGCGGCAGTCCTCTCTCAAATGCTGGCACCGAGCCTCTGGGTAAATGACGGCCTATCAGCCTTAGTTCCTCCATCTGCCAAAAAGAGCACCTTCCCCAAACACGAAAAGCACCTAGGACACTGGAAGCGCTGAATGAACGCACCTGCAGTCAGTGTCATGACGAAACCAGACCCAGTGGTGACCCGACACCCCGGGGGGAAGACCGCTTGTCCCCAAAGGTAAATCAAAGGTCGAGGGGTTTACTTCTCTGCACCTGCAGGACAAGCCTGGGTGAGAACAGGGACACCGAGGCTAGCAGGTAGGTGCCCTGGGCCCCCGGACAGCGAGTCGGGGACCTGGGGGGTGGGGTGTGTGTGTTAAGGCTCCCCCTGAGTTGGCAGAGGCACACCCAGGATGTGCCACCCCATCCGTCAGAAGGCCCATCTCTCCGGACCTCTGCCCGCCAGAGGCTCCCCGCCACCCTGGCCGGTTTCCCGCACAGCCAAGCAAGGCAGGCCGGCTGCGGAGGGAGCAAGGCCACACGCTGGTCCTCACGCTGCGTTCCCCAGGTGAGGCCGAGGCCAGGCGTGGTGGCTTCTCTGAACCCCAGTCCTGAAGCCCCCGCCAAGCTGCCCCCAGCTTCACAAGGCAGCCGAATGCCCATCCGCCCCCTGCTCTGGGCTGGGCTCTTCCTTCCTGTGTGTCCACATCTGTCTGCACGTCCATCTGTTATCTAACAAAGAACCTCCTCAGGGTAGGGGGCCAAGGGAGCTGGGGGCGCTTCTGAACAGAACAGACCGAAGTGGAGATTAGTAGACCTAATGCAGGCACTTTTCAGCAAATATATTTAGAGTTTGGGCTCGTTCAGAACAATGTTTTTGACCTTTAACACCACGAACTGATGAACAGATAAAGGGGGCAGGGGAGGGCCCCAGATCCCATGTACTGGGGCTCCCTGCCGCAGTGTAAGGAGGGGGAATGGGCAGGCAGGGGGCTGGGGGTAGAGCTCACTCGTCCAGCTATTTGGCCAGCCCTCCCTCTGACCGTCTTTCGGGGACTGTTGGCAGACCCAAAGTACCTTGGCAAGAAGGGGAGCACCTGTTACCTCTCTTATCCCCAAGACGAATTAGAGGACTGAAGACTATTATCAGAGCCCTCAATTACCTTCACTCCTCTCACTCTCCCTCTCTCGCGCTGACTCAGCTTCTCAAACCTTCCTAAAGTGGGGGCGGGGGAGGGGCATCGGAATCGTTTCCAGATGCTAAACTGAGGCTCAGAGACCTCGGATACCACCGGGTCCCTGAGGCAGCCGCTCTCATTCCCAGCTGCCCAATGGAACCACCTGGGAGTTTAAATAAATACCATGCCTGGGCCTCGCTCGCAGCTACTCTGTGCAGTGGACCTGGGCGCCGAGTGGCTAACAAGCTCCACAGGTGATTCATCCCCTCACCGCTGCCTAAGTGGGGGTGATGGGTGTGGGTGCCGGGCTCAGCCTTCCAGCTCCCCATCCAGGAGGGAGGATGCGCGGGCAGGGAGAAGGCATCCTCGGTATTCCTCCCGCCCTCTCCCTGCAGCCCAGGTGTGGCTCGGAGGGCGGGCCCAGTTTATGAGCGGGGCACTGGCGAGGGCCCAGTGGTGCCACCCTGACACCTACACCAGCTGCAGGCCTGGCTCACCCGGGCCCTGTCTCTCCCAGGAGGGGAGCAGGTGTCTGCGGGTCAGGTGCAGGGACCTGGGGGCAGGGCCGCACCTCACCGCAGTTACGACCAGACCTGGGCTCTTGTAATGTGGACTTGGTAGACTTCTGATTTCCTTATCTGCATTTTCAGTTTTGCTCCAATGCCTACCCGGATATTTATAATGTTTTTAGCTGAATGAAGGAAAGACAACTTGTTGGAGCCCCGGCTGGTACACTAGGAAGTCAATGTACAGCCAGGAAGACCCCCGGTGCGGCTCACGTTGCTTACCGAGACCCTCCAGGAACCCTTGACTTCCGCCAACGTGACTTCTCTGTAAAATGAGGAGGTTGGCCTATGACTACAGGGGTCCCCCTGTCTGGGGACAATTCACATTTTCCTCTGCCTAGAACCACGACTTCAGGGCCCAGTTCAGCACCTCCCAAGCTCCAGGAAAATCCACAGCACATTCGAGAAAATACATTTTCATTCTCAGGACTCAGCTCACTGGCCACCAGCTCCAGCTCTTCCTGAGCCCCCGGCAAGCCGGGCTGCCTGAGTCGGAAGCGAGCCCTATTCCTCATTCCCTCCCAGATCCCACTGCAGGATGAGGAAGGCGCCTCACTTCGCCTTGGTCCCTAAAGTAACCTGCCTGGTGCTGGCCAGGCTGCCCTCCCTCAGCCCAGGGAGGAAGCAGCCAGCCGGAGGACGTGCCTGGTGTACAAAATACAATCCCCCCAACCCCAGAAACCCACACACCCTCATCAGGCAAGGTGGAAAGTGGTATCCCACCCTCCCCCTCAACGCACGCTCGAGGGGTCCCTACAGTACTGCTTCTTAACTTGGTTGCACGTGGAGATCACCCAGGGGGAGCCTGGGGAAATACTCATGCCTGGGTCCTACCCGCAGCGATTCAGACAGAAATGGCCTGGGGTGTGGACTGGGAACTAGGATGCTTAAAAGCTGCCCCAGGTGACTCTAATATTATGTACAGCCGATTTCAAAACCACTGCCCCAGACCCAAACTACCTTCACTCCTTGTTAGGGGGAAGGCCTAGTCCAGCCCCGCCCCAGGGGTCAGCACAGCAGCCATGGATGGATGACTGTCCTCCCATCCACCCTTGGGCTTCCCCTCCTGGGCCATCTCTCAGCAGCCTTTGCAGAGCTCAGAGGTGCTGCAAGCTCTCACGCTCACGGGGAAAGCCCGTGCCAGAGGTGAGCGCGTTTTCAGCAGAAACCTCTGGGTTTCCGACTTTCTCAGGCCCGGGAGCCCTGCTTGCACTCAGGAGGGACAATGAAAACAAGGCAGGTGACCCTGCCCCCATTGTTCTCAGGCTGGGACGGTAACACCCCCCCCTCCCCCGGGGCAGCTGGGCGCCCCTCCCATGAGAGCTGAGGCCAGCGCAGAGCAGTGCAGGGACTGGCTGCCCCCGCGGGTGGGCTGCGGGGGTTTGGCTAAAACAAACAGACAAGGGCTGGTGGGGCCTGAGCTCAGGATGGGACGCCAGCAAGCGTTCTCAGGCACCTGGAGGGCTAAGCTGATGAGTGAGACTGGAAATCCCTGTGTGTGCAGACCCAGGGGACCTCAAGGACCCAGTCCCGGTTCCACAGTCCTGCCTGAGAGCTGGCCCTGGGGAATAGGAAAGAGCCCCCTCCCACCCAAACACACACACCAGATAACCCCCTGGAGCCAGGTTCTGAAACTCCACCCCCTGCCTCATCTTCTGAAGCACTTGGGGCAGGGGGAACGTGCAGTGAGGCTTAAATGACAAGAGGGGCACCTTTCATCCACCTGCAGCTTCCCTACCCCCAATTCACAACCGCTGCCCTGCTCTGGGTGGTTGTGGCCCGGCCCATGGCCTTGTGCTAGTATCTCTTCCCTCTCTGGGATGCTGGGCCTGGATTCATGACCTGGCCCCACCTCCGCCCCCAGAATCCAGATCCTGGGAGTATCTGACATCTTTCTACTTTGACTGATGACAACAGACATCTTCCTACGAGTGGGTCAACAACTCGAGGGCAGGAAATTACTCAGCCAGGACACCTCAAACATGCCAGGTGTGCAGATTACCCCCGTCCTTCCCCATAGGGGTATGGGTCACTAGGGAGTGAGAGATCCATGCAGAGGATTCGGCTCCTGGCTTGCCCTTTCCAGGCAAGCCGGCAAACCTCTCTGGGTCCTGTTCAACTCCTCTGTAACAAGGCTGAGGAGGGCGAAGCCAGCATCTCCCTCCTCCTGGCCAAAACCCCATTCATCAGGCACCTTTCATACCTACCACTCCTCTGGCCCTAATTTCATCTGAGACTCAAGACCCTGTAGGCAAGGCAAGCAAAATGGATATTGTTATTCCCATTTTGTAACTGAGGAAACTGATCAGAGAGGGCTAGTGACACAGAAGAGCTCACACAGCAAGCTGATGACAAAGCACAGAGAAGAACCAGCCAGAAGCCCTCTGACTCTCAGTTGAGGGCCCTTTGCACCAAACAAGCAAGCCACCCATCCCCCTTCCTGGGGGGGGGCTCAGAAATGACAACCAAAGTGGATCAGGGAAGGTGAGTGACGGGAGACAGGCAGACACGGGCGACAGGTGATGGAGAGTTATAAAAGGGTGTGCAGTCACACCCGTGGACCTAATCCTGAGATGATTTGGGATGAGTGTATGCTTTGCTCCCCCCTCACCCAGAGATGCCTTAGGTTCACCCCAACCTGACAGTAGGGTGGAAGGAGCAAACACAGGAAGGCACCAGCCCCTCAAGGTTTCCAAAAACAGCCCTCAAGCAGGCCACAAAAGAGGTCGCAGGAACTGCTGACCTGCCGTCTCCCCGTCCTGGGCTGATGACCCGAAGGAGATTCATCAACAGCTCAGCAGCCCCACCCCGTCTGTGCCACCTTATGCTTCCCGTTCTCCAGAGCCCCCGCCCACACAGTAGCCTGGATGACACAAGCTGCTGATCCGCTGCAAAATCACACACGTCAAGTTGGGGACCCTCTGCAGGCAGCACGGGGGCAGAGCGGGGAAAGGCCTGGCCTTTGGAGCAGACACACGTGGGTTCAACTCCTGGCTCCATCGCCCACCAGCAGGTCCCCTGGGGCACGTCCTCTCACCATCTGAGCTTCTCCTTCCGTCTCGGGAAAGCGGGGGGACCGAGACTTCCTTGGGTTGGGGTGCAGATTATGTGAAAATGCACAGCTTGGGGCTGGGCATACAGGATGGGTGGAAAAGTAAACTGGGAAGAACAGGGCGGTGGGGAGGCCACCTCCATTCCGAGGGTTTGTGCCCGGGCACACACCTCCAGAGCTGTGAACACAGAGCTGGCCAGTTGTCACCTGCAATGGTGGTCCTGGCGACCACCACCTGGAAGATCAGGGCTTGGGACGGTACTTATCGCCCCATGACATTCTATCAGGTATCTGCTATCTGGCCTAGAGACTACGGGCTCTGAAGACAGAGATTTCACTCATCCCTCATTCCCAGAACAGAACCTGGCACCAGTAGGTACTCGATATTTGCCAAATGACGACTCAGTCTCCGAGATGTACGCCTTCCACAACCACACTTCCAGGGCATGAAGATGGGCGGAGATGGGTGCTGGTGCTGTATTTAACATGGGTTCTGGCTGGATGAGGTGGGCAGTCCTGGCAGGTGTGGCCACCCGGGGTGATGGCTTTGTGTTTCTCTGCCCAGTGCCTTTTCCTCACCTCACCCCACCCTACCTGTCTGCCAGGCCAGAGCCCCCAGAGGTCCTAGCCCTGGTGAGTCAGCTGCACGGCAGACTTTGGAACCATCAGGATTCCTGAGGAAGGAGGCCGGCAGGCGGTGAGAGGGGGTGCCCAGGATGGGTGTCAGGGTTGAGGGCCACACCCCGGGCCCCATGCATGCCGCTGCTTCGTGGCTTCTCCAGCAGAGGGGGAAAATGATGCTCTGTTCCATAAAGCTCTCCTGAGCCCTGGGAGCTGCCAGCCCTGTTCCTCTGGACACAGACGCCTCCCCTGGGCCCTCTTGCTGGGTTCCTGAGGACAAGGCTCTCCAGCAACTGACACCCCCAGATTCCCCCTCCACGGGATGAAAGCTGCCCGCAGCCTCACCACATTCATCCCATCCGGGTACACCCACGCCCTTGGGAGAAGGATGTGGCCAACACCCTCACCTCTTACCCAGCAGAGGACAGCACCCCAGACCACCGTCAAACTGTCTCCACCCAGGGGCCCAAAAGAGGGACCCCTCCATCTGCTCCTTCCCCTCTCCCTTCACCTGCGGCTGGCAGCTCCGGGTAATAAGTAACTGCCCATCCTTGAAGGCTAGGGTTCTGATGATAAGGGATTATTAAGTCTACCCATTTATTATAATTTGTTTAAGACGACCAGATGGTTAAACTGTAAATCTCTTCACTAATGGGGGAAAAAAAAAAAGAAAGAAAGAAAAAAAAGAAAAGAAAACAGGCCGGGGGATACTAGGCGCTGGCGTTAATCCCGCATGAGAGGTGGCAGCGGAGTCTCGTCATGCCTATGAAGTAACCCTCCAGGCCTGTTTATTACAAACCACCGCTTCCCCCCCAAACCTGGCCCTGCTGCCTCCAAGCATGACCCAACCCCCATGCCTCTCCACGAAGCCCCCTGCAGACCCTCCTGAGGGCCAACCACCTGTCACAAAACCCTTCCTTATTGTCTGCCTCTAACCTAAATCCCCCCGGCTGCAGTCCAAGCCCATTTCCTTTGGTTCAGTCTCCAGCTGGAGACGGACAACAGCTGGTCTCCGTCGTCTCTGGAATAAATTGTACAAGAAACGACCAGCGAAACGGCACAGGCATTTTGGGGTGGATGGTACTCTTTGCAGGGTGGGGAGCCTTCTGCCTCAATGGCAGATCAAATCCCAGATCAAATCTCACCGCTGGAAGACTGAGTCACAACTAGAGACAAGAGCAAAGACAGACCACGATGCTGACAACTTTGAACATCGCGAGGCCGGAGGCAAGGGGGGTTGTGCCCTAAAGTGCAGACTCCCCAAGCCCCAGACAGCCGGACACAGATCTCTCACCACACCAGCTGCACCAGGGGCTCCGGCCACCAAGGCCCCCACCTGGAGATCACAGGGATGAGATACAAAGGGGATCCCCAAATACAGTGGGAAAGGAACAGAGCCTGATCCATGCAACCGGTGCCCCCCACCCGCCTCCCCTGCCTTCGCTGCCACAAAAGCACAAAGGCACAGCCGCCTCAGCTTTTCCACCCTGCGGGGACAGTCCCCCACCCGCCTCCCATCCCCGGCTGACTGGGGCATAACCAGGGTGAAGCAACAGAGAGCTGTTTTGTGCTGAAGGTATGGAAAAGTACAGCGAGCCCTCCTCGCACAGAGAGGCTGGGCTGAGGTGAGGGGAGCTGGGGTGGGGGGTGGTTAGGAAAACCTCCCATCCTCCCACCTGGGGCCCAGGACCAGGGACAGGCTGGGCCACAGGAAATGGAAACTCTCCCGATGGCGCGTCAGGAAAGTCCTAACTCTGAGGCAGCCCCGTTGTGAAACACGGGAGGCAGAAAGGACCGGGACCAGGCCTTCAACACACACATTCTCTCGCTCCCCTTCAGCCGGGCTGCAACTTTACACAAGAGCATTTTCTAAAGCTGCTTAGTCCCCTAACACCCACCCAGGCTCTGGCAGCCCTCAACCTTCCTAGGAGCGCGCAGCAACATTTGACACCCACGCCTGCACAGCGTTAGCTATTCCTCAGCCCTGCAAGTCATGACCTCAGTTTCATTACTGATCAAACGGGAGTAATGCTGTCTCCCCACCAATTCACAGGGCCATGGGTCCGAAGGCTCAGCAGATGTGAACGTGAAGAGCGTGAAGTAGGTGCACCAGCAGAGCTAGAGATGCCCCTGACTTTGAACTTCTAGTTTCTAAACACCCACTGCCGTTGGGGGTAGGCTTTCCCCCAGCCTCCCGGTGCATTGTGCATGGACGGCGGAGGCTCAGAGACAGGAAAGCAAATGCCACCAGATTTCTAAGTCACGCAAGGGTCAGCAGGGGAGCGAGACCCGCTCCTCAAGTGGCTGCATCCTGCCCCCCTGCAGAACCCAGATTCCCACGAAACACTTTGAGCGGCAGCTGGAGTGGCCACTTCTCAGGCTTGTCTAGGGAGGTCCATTTGCCCTCGCGTCTGCTGAAGATGGCCACCTGGCCTGGGCTACTGTGGGCTAAACCAAAGATCGAGCAGTGGGCTTCCAGGATATGGCCTGCCCTCTGCCCCATGGGTTACCTCCCAGGAAGAGCAGGGGGACAAGAGGACAAGATGGGAACAGGGTTCCCTTCACCTTCCCTCCCACGTCGAGGCTCTGGGCATTCCCCTCTTTGGAGCCATTCCTGCCTGATACACATGCCACATCAGGCCAGATACCAGCCCCCAACACCCCTGTACAGATCTACCAACCTAAGTTAACCCAAGGAAAGATGCGACCAGGGTCCTGGGCAAGCTTTTCTCACGTTACGCAGCTCGAAGTCAGGTCGAGTGCTTCCTTAAGAATTTGCCGAGCACCGGCCCTGTGCCCCGATGTGGGCAAAATAAGGGAAGAGCAAGACACAGGCCCTGCCCAGGAGGGCCCTGGGTCTAACAAGAGACAGACAGGCAGATGGGAGGAGTTACAACGACAGAGGAAGACAGCACAAGAAACAGCAGACAAGGCAAGGAAGGCCAGGACTGTCCTTGCTCAATACACACTCATCTGAGCCTGACGGGACACAGCGGGCAGCGCAGTCAGCAGACCCTGGCCAACCCGCGCTTTCTGTGAACCAGACCGGTGGGGATGCTCACCTCAGAGGAGCCTGCAAGTTTCCCGGGGGGTGGGACGGGGCAACCCCCCCTTCAGGTTCTCGGCACATCACCCTCCCCACTCCAAGGCTGCCGGCCAGCTCTGACCTCATCCGCCCCAGAGCAGGATGGAATTTAACTAGGTACCAAGAGAAGCCATGTGCCCTCAGGAACCTCAACAGGTTCCATCAGCACTCTAGCACTGCCCAAGAGAACTCTCTGTGCTGCTGGGACACTATCTGAGCAGTCCCATGTGGCTACTGAGCCCCTGGACTGTGGCCAGTGTGATGGAGGAACTAAATTCAAACTTTATGAATTTTAATTAAAAATTAAACAGCCACAATAGTTAGTAATATCATGTTAAAATTAAATTAATTAGGGACCTGTGGGTGGTAATTACCATACTGATGCAGTCAAACACAACACATCCTACCTAGGCAGGGTCTGCCTTACCCTGGACCCCTGGATTCACCCAAGCCTTGGCCGTGGTCTGCAACATGCTCTGGGCTCTGAATTACACGCACGGTCCTGGGCTGTCCCAAATCTTTCCTGTGCTTGTGTCTTTTGTCAGTCTAAAAGGCAAGGAGGGCAAAGTCTTCTTGGGCCCCCACAGGAGTCGGAAGAGCTGGATAGACACAGAGGCTAAGACAATACTTGTCCGTGGGTCTCTGGAGGATCCCCTCCCTTGTAGGGGACCCTGAGCCCAACACTGGGGACAGCCCCTGGGACTCCCCCAGCTCTGCCAGGCCTCTCCTGGGGAACCACACTCTCTCCTTGGTGACCATCAGATCATGTCCAATCTCAAACTTCTTGGTCTGCAGACCGAAAGCCCACCTGGTTTCCCCAGTCTTTGAGACCCTTCCCCTCAAAAGTGTTCAACAGCACTGCTGCCCAGGAAGCCACCCCTCTGGCAGCTAAACTGAAAAATAACATGTTGTTTAGCAGTTTCAGAAGCGACACTAGTTTTCGGAGTATGCGCCGTTAGAACCATGTTTATTTGTGCTTTGTGTACTCGCACATTAAAAATAGCCAGTGTAAAAAAAAAAAGAAAAAAAAATAGCCAGTGTAGAAGTGGCTGACGCTATATGCATGCATCTTACCCTTTCAGAAAATTCGATTTCTTTGCTCTAAAAGCAATACAACAGCATTTCGGAAAACTAGGGAAGCAGAGAAAGAAAAGGCATAGATAACCCTGCTTCCCGCCTTCTGTTTTCACGTCGAGTTTCAATTATTCAACGCTAACGCAGCGCCATGCATGAAACTAGAGTCCCCCGCTGCCCTCACCCCCGTCTTCTTTTTGTCTCACTTGAAGTCTGGCTCATAGCTCAGCCCCCCCTGAGAACACCAAATCGAAGCCCTGGGAACCCACCCCTGCCCCAGGGCCCCAGCAGGTGCCCCTGCTGGTCTGTCTGAGGGTCTCCTATTCCACAGGCCAGAGCCTACCAGGTCACTCAATAAGCAGGGATCAACCTGTGTGCAGTGCAGTGGTGGCTGGGAGTGGAGTGTGTACACAGATGGAAACCGGCTTTGGCAAGCGAAAATTTTAAGACACGTACACAGTGACCCCAACACAGAGCTGGTGGAAGAGACGGGGGGTCTGGCCACAGGCAGCCCTCAGCCCTGGGGCATTCCAAAGAGAGAGGGCGTGCCAAGACTGAGACCTACGAACTCTGAAGCCCTGGCATCGTGGAGACAGAAACTTCCTAGAGCAGGACTCAAAAGTGTCCCCTCATGACTCAGAAGTTGCCTTGCCCCAGCCCTGGGGAGCCAGTCCTGGGTCCAGACAGGTGCACGCCCGGGGCAGGGGTGTGGGAGGGTAGGGGGGATGCTGACGCACCTCCCCAGGCAACCTATCGACCTGTCCCAACAGAGGGCAGAGCGTCCCCACTCATGTGCCCTGTGCACGTGACGGGCAGCAGGGTGGGGGGCCGTCCCAGAGTGCTTGCTGGGTTGGGGTAGAATCTGGCCAGGCATGGTCCCCATGGGAAGGGCCCGGGGCAGGAGTTTTCCAGATTGGAGGTGGGCGCTGGTAGTCCTGCCTTTGGGTTTTGGGGGCTGGTGGGACAGAGGCCAAAGGAGAGAGAGACACAGCTTCACGGTTGGGATGTTCATTAATCATTACCCTCGTACACAGTGTGAGGTTTGGGATCCAATGGGGCAGTCGAGGGCCTCATGGGAGGGGGAAGGAGTGCAGACAAGGCACAACCCCCAGTGCAATGTGCTCTGACGTGGGGGAGAAGGAGGTGCCCAGAGAATGATGGGGCTCAAAAGAAGGCCAACTCCAGGGTCAGGGGAGCCTTCCCTGGCGGCCCCAGCCTGTGGCAACGTTTCTACCTTGGAGCACACGAGTCCCCTACAACATGCTGCACCCCTATTTAATAATCCTTCATATACACCGCAGGGCCCGGCCCCAACCTCAAAGATAGGGATAATGTCTCATAATTCCCACAACCTTGAACCAGCACTGGGCATACAGCTGGCGCTAAGAGTCTAATTGGCCTTAGTGAACAAGTCCCTGGCGCAGAGAGGGGCAGTGACCTGGCCCAGTCACACAGCAAGTCAGCTGAGCCAGGCCCAGGACCTGGCTCTGTCTTGCAATCCCCAGTCCCTGGGCCACTCATCAGTAGATCTCAGGGCTGCGGCTGGAGTCTGGGGGATGGGGTGTTGAAAAGCTGATAGTCAGGACACCCTCCCTTTTCCTGCTCCCCGGGGGGTGCTGACAAGACATTACCGCATCAGCACGCTCTGCTCAGCCCACTCAGCACTATCCCTCAGCCAGAGGCAGCCCTTCCACCCGCTGCTCCAAAGGGGGCGGGATGCTGAGGAGGGGAGGGCACCCTTCCAAAGCCAACACTGTCAGGATGCATTCCTCGACCCGGGAGGCAAGAGTTTTATTTGAACAGGAGCTATGGGGAGGGGATGGGGCTGCCGCTCTTTCTCCTCCAGTGGGTCTGAACAGGTACCATCCTGTACCCGGGGGCATGGGAGGAGCAAGAACCTTGCATCAGACTCGAGGAGCACCCAAGCCAAAAATCAACATTCAAGTCCGTGAAGGGCCTGCCCCGGGGTCCTCAGCAGGCTGCAAAATGGCCAGTCTGTCCCCAGTCACGCAGGCAGATCTGAGCAGCGCTTACACCCCAGGAGAAAGGCAAGACGAAAGCTGTTTCCTCCCAAGGTGCAGACCGCAGCGCTGCTAGGGCTTAGCCCTGGGGAAGCCAAGTCAGGGACGTGTCGCAAGTGTGGGTTTAGCTGCTGGGGCGGTAGCAGGTAATGTGTGGACTCAGACAGGAACCCTATAGCCGAGAGGCAGACTAAACCGCACCTCACGACTCCAGGTCTTTGATTCTTTCTCGAGAGCTCGGTCTCCGGGTCCCCTGACCCACAAACCTTGCAGTGAAGGGTCAGAGCCTGACAGGTCCGTAAGGATGCCAGGGGAACAGGCTGGAGGGCAGGGATGGAGCTGATGGCCTCCGCCCTGAGCTGCGGCACCTACTTCGCTAACGCAGGTTTGTCCCGCTTTAAAACTTTTCACACTGAGAAGAGCAAACAAACCTATATATGGTCAATGCGGTCAGAACAGTGACCAGTGTCAGAACCCACAAAGGCTGAAGAGAGCAGTTCTCAGCGAGGGGTCAGTAAGCATGCACAGCCCGCTTCCGGGGAGCTGGAGCCAACAGGGCCCAAGGAGAAAACTCAGTCTCTAGGAGGGGCTGGTGGCCCAGCACAGGGGAAAGCTGATTTAGGACACCACGGGGTCTAAGTGGGGCAGGGCTCTGGCTCTGGACCCAGAAGGCCTGGGTCCAGGCCACTAACTAGCTGTGTGACCTTGAATAACTTATTCGCCTCAGTTGCCTTATCTGCGAAATGAGTTTCCACGTTGTCTATGGTCCCGCTGCTGGGAGTCCCCAGGGTGTGGGATGGCCCCCACCTGCCTTTCCTTCACCAGGTGCCAGCTGCAGTCACTGCTGTGGTCTGACTGCTGGAACACCTCCCTCCGCTCCACCTGCAGGGTGACTTATGTTATCAGTGGACATAGACCTGAGTTCTTGGTAAAAGTTGAAACGTGCTGGGAGTGTGCAGGGTTTCAGAATGCCTCCCCACCCTCAGGGCATGGCCTCCTGTCTGTAGCTGGGATCAAGGGTAGGGCACCAGACAGAGGCAAGACCACACAGGGAACAGAGTCCAAATCACTTGGGCTGCTGCAAGGACTTTGGCTCTGAGTCTGGGGGAGAAGCCACGGAGGGTTTTCTGAGTCAAGCGTTCCAATCTCACTCTATCAGGATCCCTGACTGCCGTGGCAGTAATTGACTACCTTTCACCTCCTGTGGCCTCTGCTTCCAGGAAGCCTTCCCTAACTGCCCCACTTAGCTCTACCTACTCCTTTATTGTACTTTCCCCGCCCTGGTGAGCACAGTTACCTTGGAAAAGTTACATAACCTCCCGAGGTCTAGGCCTTGGCTTCAGGGCTCTAAAGGGAGGCTAGTTAGCTAACCACTAAGCTCCCTTCAGCCTCCCATTTTATGATGTGCTGCCAGGAGCGGCACCCAGAGCCTGACCCTCCTCCCCCATCCCTGCCAGCCTCCAAGAAACCAGCCAACAACAGCTCCTTGGGCTCAGACACTTGGGGAGCAGGGTCCTGTGATGGGGAAACTCCCCGGGGAGACATCAGACTACTTCTGCCCCAGGCTCTGAAGGGCCTAGAAGAAATCCTTTTTTCTGAGCTTATGGTTGACGACAACTTCAACCTTTGCCTCTTATTTCAGAAAAACTCACTAGTGCGTAGGAAAGCTGGCACTCAAGGAAAGGGTGTGCTGGGGCAGTTTAGGAAATCAGGCCAGTTTAGTGTACGTGAAGTAAGCGCTCTGCACCCTAACACACATCAAGATTTTGATTTAAAGGCTGTTCAAAAGGGGATTCGAGGTGGGGTAACAAACTTGGCTTGGCGAAGAAAGGCTCTGGACCTAGGCAGGCACAGCTAGATTAACCCAAGGTTGGTTCTAGAGACGGTCTGTCCCAGCTTCTCACCAGGACTCAGCTTTCCCATATAGCGAAAGGGATGACATTTCACTGCCAGACCTCACAGAGGGCACAGGAAGGCACTTTAGGTGAGTAGGTCTGCAGAGCCCCATGGTAAGGCCAAGGGTGGGGATGTGAGGAGGGTGCAAAGCCTGGGTATCTGCATGCCCCTTAGAGGTCACCCAGGTGCTGCAGGCAACACTTCTGCTCCATCCCCTGGTGCCAACGTCCCTAGTCAGCTCTGCCCCAAGGGGTGCGCCATGGGGTAGAAAAGGCCTAATGCCTGTAGGCTGCAGTCATGCCCAAGGGCTATAGGAACACACCCTTCTCCCCTACAAACAGCCTGGCCTTCCCCCTGCTCCGCCCCCCCACCCCCCACCCCTCGTGCCCTCGTGGTTTCTGTGGTACGTGGTCTGAGGACATTCCCTGACAGGCAGGGACGGCTCATCCCCTTCACAGCTGGTCTCAAAACAGGCCTGGGCACATGGTATGTGCCTGGTAAATATCTGCACAAAGGACTGGGTCTCTGCTCTTTCTCAAGTTCCTTGAAAGCAGAAACCACCTACCCTGGGGAGGACAGGCCTGCTAGGCGTGCTCACGCAGACAGGCCTTGTTCATCCCACGGGAAAGGCGTAAGGGGACTCCTGGAGATGAACAGACCCAGAGACACAGAGCTGTTTGCTCTGTAAAGTCCCTCAAAAGGGAGAAGATAACCTTGAGCTGGTCTTAAAGGTGAACTCGTAGCACGCCTTCCTCTTGTGTTCTCCTGTGGTCTTCACGCCCCGAGAGACAGATACCATCACTCCTACTTTCTGATGAAGCCAAGGGCTCGGGGCGCAGCTTGCAAAGGCGATGTGAGTTTAAAGCCTGTGGCTGACCACCAGGCAACTTGGCACCGCCTCGTGAGGCTGGAAGGCTAGAAGGAGGAAATGGGCGTAAATTTTGATAAACCCGCTCCCCTTCTGTTCTCTGGGGCCAGAGCCCGGCCTGGCTCAATTCACCCAGGTAACCACCTTGACCTGGCAGGAGGCTGGGCCCCTCATGACTAGACTCCAACCCAAAGGTCCACATGAATCTTGGCCTCCCCGTCCGAGCCAGGCGCACCACTGGGCACCCGGGGGCCCAACAGACACATTCTGAGCCAGTCACTTACTGAGCTAGGAACTGGGTAGGGAGACATGGCGCTGCCCACACAGGGCTCCTGCAGTCTAGCTGGGCGTAATTTAACAGGCTCTCCAAGCCTTCTTGAATGAAAGGCTGAACTTACTCCCAAGAAGCAGAGTCCAGAGAGGTGAAGTCTGACCAGGGTCACACAGCACAAACCAGTACTGGGGGGAGAATCAGAATCCACGTTAGAATCAGCTTTTCCCTGCACAGTGGTTCAGATAAGGGTTTCCCGGCCCCAGCTCCAGCCCCAAGCACTGGTCACACAGACAAAGGGAGGGGCTCCGCTGTGTCCTCCTCAGCTGCTGTGGCCTACAATACCCCTGGCAGCCCACAGGGCCCGCCACCAGTCTACAGGAACAGACAAGCTGGCCCTGTCCCCCGGGTAAGCCCCTCCCCACACAGCTTCTAGCCTAGCCTGGGGGCAAGGCTCTCCCTAATGGGAGGTGTCAGCTAGGCAACCTTAGCCAGATTACAGTGGCCATGGGAGGTGACAACAGCCAGAAGTACACAATACTGCCTAAATAGTTCGGCAGGAAACCCAAATATTTAGCTAGGAGGGGAAAAACAGAATGGACACTTCAAAGGCAATCCAAGGGACCTGGCCAGCAAGGGCCTATTGAGAGGGGAGATGGGTGGTGTCTGGCCCCAGGGAGAGCACAACTCTAACCCCACATCCTGTGTGACCACCCTCCGGGGATGGTACCCATGAGGCCACCTGGACCCAGGAATCCTCTGGAAGGGAAGAGTTTTAACAAACGCCTGGGATAAGCCAGGACTGAGCAGAGAAAGCCTGGTCCCCTTTCTGCAGAGGAGGGAGCTGGGCTCTGCTGGAAGGGAAGAGGAAATACACCTTCCACTGAGGGAGGGGCTGGGTGAATGTGCAGGAAATGGAAAATGGTGGGGACTCCACCAGGAGTTTTGGTGGGTTTTATCATCTGTGTCTCTATCTGTGTCTCCATGTGGGGCTTGAACTGGGCGTCAGGAACAGCACCACCCCACCCCCGACCCTAGAGAGACGGGGTGTCAGAGAACAGCTAACACATAGCAAATCACCAGTTGCACGTGTCAGGCACTCAGTCAAATGTGGATTCTGCAGGCATGAGGGCAATACTGAACTATTGTCCCATTTCACAGACTAGGAGACTGACTTGCTCCAGGCCCCAAGGCTAAGTAATCAGCCAGCCACACAGAGAACCACCCGATGCACCCTAAGGCTCTGAAGACACCATTTTCCCACCTCTAGGCCTTTGCTGCTTGTTTTCGCCACCTTTCTGGCTCACATCGAGCAGAATGGTTCAGAGTGTGGGCTCTGGGTTCAAATCCACATTCTTCCACTTCCTAGCTGTACAGCCTCGGGCAAATGAGTGAACTAGAACTATCCATTCTGTTGCTCCTGCCCTGAGGTGGTGCTGGTAAGAGTACCTCCAGCAAAGGGTTGCTGTGAGGATTATGAGACGATGCACATAAACAGTTCCCACTGCCTGTGGTGAAGCAAGTGCTCAGTAACCGTTAGCTGGAATCACCCCCACCTCCGGCCCCCAATCCCTGCCCACTCCCATCACTTCTACCTCCTGGCTCTACCTCCACTCCTGGTCAGGCCCCAAGGCTCTGCAGTCAGCAAGGAAGGGTGAATTTTAGCCTCTGGCTAGCCATGTAGCCCTGGGCAAACCCCTTGGCCTCGGTTTCCTAGACAATGGGCAGAGAAGTAACACCTCACCCACAGGACAGGTTCAACAGGTAAAGAACCAGCCTGGCACATGGGAGGTACGCAGCAGAGAGCTCCCAGGGGCTGCAGCTCACACCACCCATCCCTCCTGGCTGCCTCAAATTCCCCCTTCTTTAAGCTCGAGAGCAGAAATTAATCTCTCAACAGTACATGCTTGGAAGCTCCAGGTGTACCTACCAATGTCAGGTAACAAGCTCCTCACCTGCTTTCTCTAGAGTAGGGGCTCTCTGAGGGCAGGGGCTATGTTTTGTTCAGAGCCAGATGCCCCACAGGCCACAGGGTTCTACAGGTCTCAGGAAACAGGAATCGAATCCTCTGAGGCCCTCTGACCCTCGTCCATCTCTCCAGCCTCACCATATGCAACCCATCACTGGGCACCAGGACTACATTTTTCCTCATTTCACCACTGTGGCCCTGTTTCTCTCCCCAACTAGACTGAGCTCCCGAGGGCTAAAGCCCCACCTGGTTTCTGAGGCTTCAGTGCACACAGAAGGGACAGCTGGCAGGGAGGGACCCCTCTGTGATCCCCTAACTTTGCCCAGGTCTCTGAGGTTTGGGGGCCAGATTAACTGCTCACAAAAAGCCGAGATGCCTCAGGCAGAGCTGTACAGAGCTGGAGCACACTACCGCACTGTTACCTACAGAAGCAAAGAAGGTACAATCTGGGAAGGTCATCAAATGGAGGGGACCCAGACCTGGACCTCCCAAGGGGTTCATGGAAGGAAGACAGAGGTACCCTAACAGCAAGCTGGGTGTGAGGGAGTGCGGGTGGGCTCTTTTGGGGGAGGTGCTGTGAGCTCTGTGGGCTTTTGGGGAAAGACCCACACTCCAACACATTGGAAGGAGAAAGGGAGGAGGCATCCTTATCAGAACACCCATAGGGTGAAACGATCAGCCCACAGAAACAGCCGATAATTTAGAGTAGAATACTTTACTTCTTTTAAGTTGCAAACAGCTGTGAAGGAAGAGGAAACTTTCTGAAATGCTGTTCACTCCCCTACTTGAAAATTGCAAAAATTTGGTGAGTTCAAATTCTTTGGCTAAACCCAGAGAGCTTCGTCATCTGGCCCTCACCCCTCTGCCCCCTGGCTGCAATACAGGACCATCGTGCAGTTTTACACCTCCCTGAGGGCTGCAGTGAAGAAAGGGCCACCATCCTATCCTCCCTTCTCTCTCCAGCTTTTTAAAAAGGTGGTTGATATACACCTAGACGTGGAACTGCTGGATCATATGGTAGTTCTATTTTTAATTTTTTTAAGGAACATGGTCTTCCTTAGTGGACGCACCATTTTACACAAAAAGACAGATACTGTACGATTCCACTTATAAGATACCTGAAGTAGTCAACTTCACAGAAACAGAAAGTAGAATGGTAGTTACCAGGGCCTGGGGAGAGGGGGAGAGGGGAGTTGTTTAACAGGTCTAGAGTTTCAGTTTTGCAAGTTGAAAAAATCGTGGAGATCTGCTTCACAATAATGTGAACATACGTAACACTACTGAACAGCACTCAAAAAAGGTGAAGGAGGTAAACTTTGTTATGTATTTTTCACTATAATTAAAAAAAAAAGTCAGTTGACCTTTCTCCTGCACTAAGGTCTTCCTGACTCTATGCTCACCACACTTGTGCGTGGATGGCCCCATCACACAGTAGGGGCATCTGGGAGGTGAGTGGCAGCAGCAGCTAACGCGTGATGAGCCTTGCTGTGTGCCAAGCACTGTTCTGAGCAACCTGTGAGGGTGATATGACGGCATGACCCAGTGCCTGGAGGGTGACTCTTTCAGCAACAGAAAGGGGCCTGCAGTGGCGAGGTGAGTGGCACATGAACAAAGATCCCTGCGGAGGGCAGCGTGTCCTTTTATCCGTGTCAACCCACCCTTGTGGGGAGGATCGACAGGTCAGGGCTCCTCCACTTATTCCAGGGGTTCAGAGGGACTCTCAGCAAAATCCCCAAGGGGATTCCCCTCTACCTTCTCCGCTCCCCAAAAGGAACACCAGAAGGTGAACCTATTGCCCACGCCTACCTCATCTGACCTCTCTCTATCACCCCAGTTCAGGCCAGTCAAGTGGTTCCTGAGGTACCACTAAGATCTAGCATCTCAATTTGTACAAAGACTCTCTTGGGGGTTCTGTCTCAGCAGCCCGGCTGTTCCCCAAAGCCTGGTACTTCCCTGCCCCCCCACTCCCCCCACCCCACAGACATAAAGAGTTCAGAGGCTGAGGCCAACCTAACAGCAAACAACCAAGTTCAAGATGAAAGCTCTTGACCTGGGGTCACAGCCAGCCAAGCATGGCATCCAAAACCAGAGGATTGTGTTTCTTTTAAATGCCAGACTATAAATAGAGCAAAACCTGAGGAAAATACTTAGAAGCAGCAGTCATCACCTCCCCTACACCCCCTCCTATAGGACTCCC